AGATAGATAGATAGATAGATAGATACATAGATAGATACATAGATAGATAGATACATAGATATTTCCTCAAACATCCTAACCTTCCAGTTTCTCACCTCTTGTGACATCTATTCCACTTCAGGAAGGTCATGTTCTTGATCGTGCCATCACTCACAAGTGTTACAATTCCTTGACCAAGAACCAAAACCTGTCATTCTATCTTTCCCTAAGCTCTACTCCTTACAAGCCCATTCTTCGTCTCTCTGGCTCCCAAGTCTTCCAGCACTCAGCGCTTACCATGCCATTATAACAGCTCTGACTGGACTCCTAACCTCTGAGTCAAGCAGTTCAACTTTTCATTCCCCTCCACTCTTGAAATCCTTGTTGTCTCATCCTGGCCTTGCTCATGTTTTGCCAAATCCAAATTTTGGTGACTGATTAATTGATCTGTTTTCTCCGCTCCCACATATGTGCTGCTGAAAGAAGCTGAAGGGAATCAGGAGAGGGTATTGGCCATTACCTATTTATGGTAACTAATCTCAGCTGGGGCCCTCACTGCTGCAAGGTATTCCTTTTACCCCTCCCTTAATTAATTCTCTATCCCAATCACCAACGGCTATCATCCCAAACTTCCTCTTTTTTTTTTCTTTTTGGCAATTGGGGTTAAGTGACTTGCCCAGGGTCACACAGCTAGTAAGTGTTTGGTCTGAGGCTGGATTTGAACTCAAGTCCTTCTGACTTCAGGACCTATGCTCTATCCACTGCACCACCTAGCTGCCCCAAACTTCCTCTTTTCTCAGGAACCTTAAATTACACCCCCTCCTACCCTCTTAGTTGAAAACTTTACCTCATATTTTACCAAGAAAGGTGAGGCCATTCTCTGTGAGCTCTCTATATTCCCCTTCTTATCACATAAACTCCTTGAGATTACCTCACACTATCTCCACTTTTATTCTATTCTCTGAAAATAAAGAGATGGCCCTCACCTTAGTCTCTTCCACTCTGATCTCTAGCCTATTGCCCTTGCATCATCCCCCCCCCCATCTTTGATCTCCTGCTGATAGTTCCTTCCCCATCACCTACAAACACACCTAAATCTCCTTCATCCTAAAAAAAAAAGTAGCTCACTAGATCCTGTCATTATCGTACCTATAATCCTGTGTCCATTCCTATTTAAGCTGAACTTCTTGAAAAAGGTGTCTAAACTCTTTGGCTCCGTTTCCTATCCTTTCATTCTCTTCCCAGCCCTCTTCAATCTAACTTCCAGTTTCATTACTCAACTGAAATTGCTCTCTCCAAAGTTGCCAAGGATCTTTTAATGGCTTTTCCTCAGTCCCTAGCCTTCCTGATTTCTCTGTAGAATTGGATGGTGGCCATCTCCTCCTCCTTCATAGCTTCACTTCTCTCAGTTTTCATGACACTGATCTTTCCTGGTTCTCCTCTCACTTTTCTGCGCCTTCTTAGTCTTCTTCGTTGGATCATCATCCATGGTTCCCCCCCCTCCTGCTCCCTTCACCTGTGGCTGTACCTGAAGGCTTTCTTTTCACTCTGTACTCTCTCTCTCTCTCTCACTCACTCATCAGCTCCTATGACTTCAATAATCATTTCTGTACAGATACTCTACATCTATCTATTCAGCTCTTGTTTCTCTTCTGATCTCTAGCTCCCCATCACCAATGGACTATTGAGCATTTTGAACTAAATATCCTATAGGTATCTCAAACTCAACATGATCCAAACAAAACTAATTTCTTTTCCCAAAAAACATGCCCCTTAATGTACCAATGGCCTTCCATTCATTTTCACAGCCTAAACTCCTCAGTCTGACTGACCTCACACATTCAATCAGTTGTCAAGTTTTATTTTGATCTCACAGCATCTCTTACCTGTGGCCTACTGTCTCCATTCACACAGACACTACTCTAATTGGAGCCTTTATAACTTCTTACCTAGACTATTACAATAGCCTCTTAATTGGTCTCCCTGCCTCTGATCATTCCTTACTCCTATCTAGTCCCTATATGGGCTGCCAAATGATTTTCCTAAGACATAGATAAGTCTGACTATGGCATCCCTCCAGGAATTCCATTGGCTCCCTATGAACCTCTAGGATGAAGTATCATTTTGACATGATCTTTGATCTGACATTTAAAACTCTCACAACCTCACCCTTCTTACCTGTCTAGTTTCATGATGTACATTCCTATCCTCCATGTACTCTGCAGTCTACTAAAGCTGGGCAGCTCACTTTTCTTTGCGCATGATGCCATCTTTATTTCTATAACTTTACACTTGTCCCCATGCCCAGAATGCTATCTCTGCTCACCTCTGGGTCTGGGAATACTAGATTTCCTTTAAGCCTCAATTACAGTAGCACCTTTTCTGTGAAGCCTTTCCTGACCCCTCTAAATGCTGGTGCTCCCCCCACTGGATTACTCTGTGTTTGGTTCATAAATGGTTTGTTTACACCTAATGATGTGCAGGTTGTCTCCCTGTCAGAATGTAGACTTCTCAAGGACACGGACCGTTTCACTGTTATATCAGTATCCTCAGCACCTCGAGAAGGGCTTGGAACACAGTAAGCATTTAGTAAGAGACTTGCTGATTCATGTCATCGGTCAAGCCATGTTGTCTGGGTGGGTACAGGGTCATTTCTAGAAACAGTCTCCCTCTTTACTCCTGGGCACAGACTACACAATACATACTGATGACGTAAGCCCCAATCTGGGTGTGGCCAAAACTGGTTCAGCAGCAGGAGGGTCCGTATAGTGTCCCACTTACTTAGTAGCTTCTCAATGTCAGTTTCTTATATTGTTTTTAAAGTAAAATACAGTATAAGACCCTTACTAATGCAAAAGATATGGTGAAATGATATATTTTATTATCAGAAACTTTGCTAGAAGATGGAATGTAATAAAGACACAGGTATTTGTTTTATAAAGTAGATGCCTTTCTTGTCAAGCAGTATTGGGACATACTCTTCCTTTTCTCCTCCCCATCCTTAACTTGAAATGAAATAAGCCATCCCCACTAAGCCCACCCACAGGTTAGACAGAGTCGTCCTGCCTCTTTTCCTGCTCGGTGTCACAGCATGCTAAGCCTTGGGAAGCATGTTCCCCCTAAGTGACCAGTTTGTACAAGCTGGAGATAACGCAGGTCAATTATTTCATAAACTTTAAAGAACTTCATAAATGTCAGCTAGTGTGGTTATTGTCGCTACTCTGCCTTGAGTCTGCAGCCCTCCCTCCAGCCGGGCCAAGGCCCACCTAGAAAGATACATACAAGAAGTAGCGGCCCTGCCTCCCCTTCCTCATTGCTACCACTCCTGACCCAGGGCCACGAAAAATCAAGACTTTTTTCTAACATCACCAGGACCTGGAAGACCTTGTTGAAAGGAAATGTATCCTTTCATTTATTAATGATGATACTATTATACAGAATTCTTGGTAACCACAAAAACTGACAGTTCAAAGAAAGTGATTTTCCCTTTAAACTAAGGATAAGAGGGTTTGACCAGAGAATTCAAAAGGGATCTGGTAAGAATGGTTTTTACCTCTCTCTTTTCATCAGTACATGTTGTTTGTTTACTCCCAATTGCAGAAGAGAGAATTCAGTTCATATTAACCATAATGAATTTAGAAGTGTTTTATTAGTAGAAACAGAAATTTTAATCTGCAATGCTGCATGAATTTTAACATAATCATTGCAATCAATAATCCATCATATTTTTAAAAAGTATTAATCATACCAGATCTTCCTTTCTTCTACTGGCATCAGTGATCTTGTCTCCATTGTCCCACAGGAACTGGCTGAAAGAAATAATATATATTTGGAAAAACTTGTCAAAAAGTGGTTTATTAATAGTTTTTTTTTAATTTTTAAAAATCTGTTCTTTATAATTTTCAGAAAATATTTATGTATAATACGAATAAAGGAATTTTGTTCAAAAAGTGATGTGTCCCTTACTCATGGTCAACATAATAATATCATCTGACACTTATATAGCATTTTAAGGCCCACAAAGGGCTCTAATACATTATCTCACTTTACATTCAGTATTAGTCCAAAGTAAAGTCAAATTTAATATAGGTATTATAGGTAAACCTAGATATTCATTAATAGTCACAACATGAAAAGAACAATAAACAATTTTATGAATCAGGCTTCTATTCATGATTCTACTGTTAAGGATAATCATTGAAGCACCTCTGCTTTGATTATAAATGACAAGGTATAAAAGTGTTGCCTGAACATTGGACCCTGCTATGAGATCTGAGCTGTTTTGTTTTTTTTTTCTTAAATTGATGGATGCTAAGTGTTCTACTGCAGGACAAGGAGATTAACTCAAACAAATATGTAGAATTGAAAAATATAAACAGATCCTTAATGAATTTGCTCATTAATCCTCCCAGCTACAGAAACTTTTCTGTTACTAGGCTAACCCTTGTGACAAGGGAAAACTAGAGCAGAAATATTGTCCCTTATTATGAAGGCTGACAATGAATCGGTGTGAAGTAAGTTTGACAAAAGTATATCTAAAAGGTTTTTTTCCCTCTCACATATTTGTTCTAGTGAGAATCTCTTAAAACAGTATTCTTTACTTCTCTTGGATTAGTTACTGCTATAAAATTTATAATTAAAGTGGATGACAATTACCTTTTTTTTTGTCCATGTAACATACGTTTATCGTCTAATGCTTCTAGAAATCCATACTTTCTTGCTGGGTACTTTTTAATCTTGTTGTCTTTTAGGCTGACTTTTTTCCCCCCAAAGTTCATACCAACCAATGTTGATTTTTCAGTCACATGAAATAAAATTAAGAATAATTAGAATTTATTCAATACAACTTTGCCTGTAAGTATTCACACACCTGTCCATAACCCTGTCCAATCTGTGTACAAAGTAAGCTTTTAGAGTACATCATATCAGATGTATTCTCATATATGCTTTCACTTTTAAAATCCCTTTTCACTCGAACAGAATTCTTACACACTGGAAAGCTACAAAACTTAACTTTAAAGCATTAACATTTTAAAAGGTTCCATCCCACTTTGAGGTTTCATAATGGAGAAGTGACTGGGTTGTTGTTTTTTTTTTAAGGCCGTACCAGTGAAGGAAAAACTCTGGCAGGTTTTAGCCATGTAGGAAAGGTTTAAAAGATGACAGGTAAAGTGCATGTGTCTTGATATGTGTATCTTCTCTAAGGAGGAGCCTATCTGATGGTGGAAAAGTACATCTCCATATGATGGTAGCCACCAAAAGAAAAGGAACATTGGCTTATCAACCCCCAAAATGGACAAAAACAAAGATAGTTGTTTCCGCAAAGATGAGAGACTAGCAGGGAAAGAACCAGTAGAACTAAGAATCATAAAATTCTTAGACCATCTACAAACATTACTGTAACCAGTAGCACTTTAAATGTATGACCTTTGTCTAACCACCAATAAAATAATATACTATAGGAGAAACCAAATCACATCCATCTTGATGTACTAGCTAAAAGTGAAACAAAAATATGCAAAGAAGCTAAACATAAGAATATAAATATGAGAATGGCTCTCAAGTTCTTCTTGGAGAGGCAAATAAGGGAATCATAGTGTTGGTTTAGGGTTACCATGGTGTAATGCAGAGTATTGGATTTGAAGTCAGGAGAATCAATTTCATCAACCATAAAATTATAAAATGAGTACAATAATATTCATATTACTTTCCTCACATAGGAAAGGGCTTATAAAGAAAGGCCTTGGTAAATCTTAAAGTTCTATATAAATTTGAGTTATTATTGTGCACCTAGAGACGAATAGAAACAACTTTTTGTGAGATACTTGTTCTTCTGAGCATTCGATGAGCAAACGCATAAGGCTACAATGAAGATAATTTAAGTTTATGTGCCAACATTAATTGTAGATTGTGAATTAATTGTAGAGGAAAGAATTTCATATCATCTTCCTTATACTTTAATAGGGTAAAGTGAATGTGAAATTTGGCTTAGGGAGGACAGTTAAAACCATATTGGAAAATATGATTTGGTATAAAAGAAGTCAAAGAGTAGACTACTCATAAGACACCCACCTAAACATCATGACTACTTTTTCAAGAAGAGAGTTGGAATATGTTGGACACAGTGAACACTTAATGACATCTGAAAAACTGATCATATTCTAACAGATAGGAAGTGATTCATTATAGACATAGAAATTATTTCAGAATCAGCTGCCATTATCAGCACAATCACATCAACAGCTTGTTAGTACAAAGTAAAAGTGAACACCAAATTAAAAGAAAGGGTAAAAATGCAAAAAAAAAACCCACCATGTATAATTATATAAATTTTAACTCAATCTGTTTTTAAAAGTTGACAAGTGGGCAAAAGTAAGGACAGTGAATTCCTAGAGAAACTTAGCCAATATAAAAATTGCTACAAAGAAAGTGATGAAAAAGTTCAGAAACCATCACAGCGAGCAAATACTTGGTAGCCACAGATAACACTGGTTTAAAGTACAAGCTCAACTGCAAAATACTACAAGATGTATGACAGAAGTGAAATCAAAATAACAAAATAAAATATGATGAAGTAAAAATCACAACAAACCCCCTCCAAAATAGAAAGATATATAAGAACCAACTGATCAAAACCATAGTTATATGCTAACAAAAATAAGAATTTAAAATTAAGAGGATTATTTTTAAACATATAAAATATCCAGATTAATAGAACACCCAAAAGAACTTAAAAAATTCAATTGCAGAAAAGGAAATTGAACTAGTTACAAAGAAACTATCAAAAGAAAAATCTCTGGTCTAGATGGATTTACAGGAGAATTCTATCAAACTTTTAAAAATAATTAATACAAATACCATATAAATTATTCTCAAAATTGAGAAAGAGAGTACTCTACCAAACTCCTTTTATCAGACAAATACAGTCCTAATTCCTAAAACAAGGAAGGATAAAGCAAAAAAAGAGAATTACAGACCAATCAATTAAAAAATTTTAAATAAAATTCTAGCAAAAAGGCTACAGAAATTTATCCAAAAAAATCATTCACTCTAATCAGGTTGTATTTAAAGCAAGAATTTTCAACATTAGGAAAACAATTAACATAATTAACCAAATCAAAAATAAATTCGCATGATTATATTAATAGATGCAGAAAAGTTTTTATCCAAGTACAACACCCATTTTTGCTTAAAAAACAAAACCTACAAAGTACAAACATAGAGGGATGTTTTTAATATGAAAAAAGTATCTATATGGAATCAAAAGCTAATATATTCAATAGTAAAACACTAGCTTTTCTAAAAAAAAAATATATATATATATAGGAGTAAAGCAAGGATGCTCCTCTTTCCCTTCTATTATTTGGCATGTGTCTAGAAATGCTAACAATAGCAGGGAGACAAGAGAAAGAAATTAAATTCATAAAAATAGGCAAACGAGACAAAGCTATACTTATTTGCTATGATATCATGGTTTACTTAGGAAATCCTAAGGAATCAGCAAAGAATCTGAGACAATAGCTTCAGTAAAATTTCAGGCTGTAGACTTGTAGTAAAAAATTATTTTGTAAAATAAAACCACAAGAATCAAGAGCATTTTTACATAGTCATGACAAAAGTTGGGAAGCAATAACAGAGAAGGAGGTAACATTCAAAATAAGTACAAAATGAATACAACATCTGAGAGTCAATCTACCAAAGATCACATAGACACAATTACAAAGCACTCTTTGGAGGAAAAAAAAAATAACTTATGTTATAGGCCTTGTCCATATAATTAAAATGACAGTGCTACCAAAATAACTTTACATATTTAGTGCTACACTAAGCAAACTACCACAGGGAAACTTTACACAGTTAAATAATAAAATAATAACAAAATCTACTTGGAGAAACAAAAGATCTAAAATATCAAGGGAAATAATGAGAAAAAACAATGAAGGTGGAAAGCACTCTTAGAGCTCATACTATGATGTAAAACAGTAATCATCAAAAATATTTGGTATTTGCTTAAAAACAGACAAATAGATCAATGGAACAGACTAAATAAAGTTGATCAGAAATAACTGATTATAATAACCCAGTGTTCAATAAATCCGAAAACATAAATTACCCAGAAAAAAATCCCTACTTGACAATAATTGCTGGGAAATTTGGAAAATGTCTTAGAAAAATTTTGTTTAGACCAAGATTTCACCATATTCCATAGAAAATTCTAAATGAATACATAACATGAATATTAAAGATCATATAAAAATTAGAAGAGAAGTAAGCCATATACCTTTCACAGCTAAGAGCTCTAGATGAATTCTTAACCAAACAAGGGAAAGAGGCAATTACAAAAGACAAGTAATATAATTTTGATTCTATGAAATTGAAATGCTCTTGCATGAATAAAACAAATGCAGCTTGGATAAGAGGGTGTTGACTAGGAAAAAAAAATCTTTGTTTCAAATATATCTGATATGTAAGATAAATAGACAGCTAAAAGAAATATCTAACACCAAAAGCCATCCAATAGACAAATGGTTCAACAACATAAACAAACAGTTCTCAAAAGAAGATGTGCAAACTATTATCATATGAAAGAATACTCCAAATCATTAATGATAAGAGAAGTGCAAATAAAAACAACTCTGAGGGTTCACCTTATACCCACAAAATTGGCAAAGATGACAAAAGATGGGAATAGTCAATGTTGGGGAGATTGTGGAAAGACAGACACACTATTTGGCGTGTATTATATATTGATAGAGCTGTAAATTGGTCCAACCAATCTGGAAAGTAATTTGTAAAGATGCAAAGAAAGTGACTTAAATGCCTATAAAGGTTAACTCAGATATTCCCAAGGAGATCATTGACAAAATAGGGAGGTTCTGTAGACACCAAAATATTTATAGCAAAAATCTGGGAAACTCTAAACCTCAGAGCTACCCTCGGCCTTAGGACCAACAAAAAGCCCCAAGAAAAAGCCCTTGACATTAAAAATGAATATAGTTTGGCCTCCAGAGATTAAAAATGATTGGGAATTACGTTAGAAACTTTACAACATATAACTAAAATACTGGCTCCCCCCACCCATTCAAGCTGTTACCAAGGTCTGTCAATTTCAACTTTGCAACATCTCTTAAATATGCCCCTTCTCTCCCCTGATGCTGCCATTACTCTAGTACAGCCCCTCATCACCTCACATCTTGAATACTGGCTGCTAGGTCTATTTGCCTTAAGTCTCTCCCCACTCCAGTCCATTCTTCATTCAGCCACTACAGTAATTTTCCTAAAGTACAGGTTCAATCATGTCACTCTCCTATTAAATAAACTCCAGGGTCTTTCTGTTGCCGCCTACATCAAAAACAAATTGCTCTCTTTGGCATTCAAAGCTCTTCATAATCTAGTCCCCTTCCTACTTTTCCAGTCTTGTTATACCTTCCTCTTTGATCCAGTAACACTGACCTCCTGGGGCTGTTCTGTTCCATGGATAAGACATTCCATCTCTTGGCTCCAGGCATGCTGTCTGGCTGCCCCTCAAGCCTGGAACATTCTCCTTCCACTGCTCCACCTACCGTCCTCCCTGGATTCCTTTAAATCCATCTACTGAAAGTGTTCCCCAGCCTCTCTTAATTCGAGTGCTTTCTCTCTGTTAATTATTTCCTATTTATCCTGTATATAATTCGTTTGTATGTAAAATTGTTTCTCTCCCCCATTAGACTGTAACCTCCATGAGGGCAAGGGACTGTCTTTTATCTTTTTGTATCC